ATCAAGCCTCCAAGCTCATTTGATATTTGCTCGTCCAACTCCGATCCTCTTAGCTACTCAACGCTCTTTTAACCCACCCACCAGTCCCTTCGTGGGCGGCGGCGGCCTCCCAACACGAACCCCGTTCGTCTCCCCCATGCACTTGCGTTTATAGCCGAGGGGACGAAAACATATAAGCTTAGGTTGTATCGATTTAAAGCCCCTAGTGTCCACTACTTCTGAAACGGCGTCGCCGGAGGCACCTTAAACTGGCGAGTCAGCACGATTTACGACGCGACACTGTTGAGGCAGTTGTATGCTTGGCGGTCGCTCGTCGTCCGGAATCGATCCAGGGTCGCTGCCACAAAGCCCCAGTCCATCCAGCCCAGCTGTGCCACCGCGCCTTGCGTAATCGTATCGCGAAGAAAGCGCCAGTGGACGTCGTCGTCGGCCATGTCACAAGGCGGCGCCAGAAACGGCTTTTTCGGCCGGCGGTACAGCTCGTCCGAGATGAAAGGCTTGGTCGCTTCGCGCAAGACCCACTTGTCGACGAGGGTGCCGTCGACGACGCGGAGCCTGACGTTTGGCGGGAGACTATTGACGTAGCTCGTGAGCGGGTGGTCCAAGAAGGGCACGCGCCTACGATCGAGTGCGCCATCTCGCTGCGGTCGCCCAAGTGATTGCACAAGTAGTTGGGCAAGTGCACGCGCATCTCGAGGCACAGCGCCGTGTGCAGCGGATGCCACTCGTCGCGCGCCAAGCGCCGCTCGTCGGGCGAGAGCGCACGCACGTACGCACCCAATGTCACGGGAGCAATCGGATGCTCTAGAACCTACGAAATTGTATCCGAAAGCCCCCAATATACATATTTAAAACCTTGTGTCGACTGGATTGTCCGCCGTCATGGATCATTGTTGGCTTGCTGACATCAAGTTCAACGACGTGCGGTTGTTGAGCCGTGGATGCTCGCGCTGTACCATCTTGCCGAGCGACGCTTTGCGCTGCGACGCCAAATGCATCTGCTCCTGCGGTGCGTCCGGATCATCCACATACGAGTATGTACCAACAACAACCAACGTGCTTGCGACCGCCTCCGCCGTCTTTGGGTCCAAAGCAACTACTGTTTGGGGTTGTTTTGTGTGGAGTTGAAATGCAAGTGCAAGATAACACGATACGCTCGCGCCTTCTCACGTTGCCACGCGTCCAGGCCAGGCCGCATACGGTCATTTGATTGGCGCATCGATAAACCATGCGAGCGGATTGGCTGGCTGTCAAAACTGCCAGATTGGATAAAGTTCACTTGCTGATACGCCCACGACCCGATCAAAGGCGCACGCACACAAGCAAGCACACCCCCCGCATGTCGACCAAGGTCGCCAAAGCGTCGCGGTCCATGGACACGGTCATGACTGTGGAAGCTGTCGTGATCAACATCGCGCAGTGCATGCGCGATGCCGCCGACGTCGTCACGTTCCTCGAGGCGGTGCCGTCGACGCCACTGCTGTCCTCGCTTCAGCAGTGGATGATGATAACACGCACTAAGATCCAGAGCTCTTGGCCGCACCTCTCGGTGCTAAGTCTCTCGTGCAACGACCGTGCCGCCGCGCTGGCTGTGATGCCGGCCATCGCCTCGGTCCGTGCTGAGGACGACTTTTTCCGACAGTTTGAGCCCCACGCTAGCGCATGCAGCGCTGCCTTCTTGGCCTTTCTTTGTACGGTCGCAGACAAGTGGCCGGCCAAGCTATTGCACGTGAGCCTCACGATGCCAACGAACGACGACGACGTGGCGCGCGTTTGTCAAGCGCTGCGCCGCTGCGACCGTCTTGGCAGCCTCCAGATCAACGCGGTGCACCAGTTTCATGCGTCCGTGCTCGGTGCGGCCCATCACATCCGTCGACTTGACTGGGTGTACGACGGCTACTCGAGTGTCGTCGCACGATCGCTGCATTGGTCAGCGGCCATTACGGCCTGGCTGAACGCAGGACCAACGACCCATATCGGTTTCCACCGGCTTGGTTTCCACGCGTTCAGCTCAGTTGGCCCGCTGTGGTCGCAACATGACGACGACCTCGCGCTTGCAAAGGCGCTTGCGTCCGTACCGAGTCTTATGCTGCAAGGCGCCGATAGCATCGTCGACATGCTCGTCCACGTACACGCTCCGCTGCATGCGCTGACGCAGCTGAGCGTCAACATCGAAGGTGGCGCCCGCGTCCAGGGCCTATTGGGTCTCGTTGACTTGGCCAAGATCACGCACCTCGACATTACGCTGCGTGGACCTACGAAAGTCGACCTCAGCGATGTCGCCGCGGCGCTGCCCCATCTCACGTCGCTGCAAGAGCTCAAGCTGAACGAGGTTGCCCTTCTCAACGCTCCAGCCGAGGCAACGACAACGAGTCTCCGCGTCGTATGCTTGGAACGCGTCGAGTGCTCGGAGCTTGCAGCGCGTCGCCTTCTCCAGTGGATCTCGTCCTCGCCGTGCCTCCGGGAAGTGGCGTGGGACGACCTTGATTTCGCCGATATCCCTGCCACGGAGCTCGCAACGAACTTGCGCTCGTGGATCGCTGTTGGCGTGCATAGCGTGCGGCTCGCAAGCGCGGGTCTCGATGATGCCGGCGCGACAGAGATGGCGCAGGTGCTGTGCGACACGCATCACGCGTCTGGCTTGACGCTGGACCTCCGCTTCAACGAAGAGATGAACGACGACGGCTTCCGGGAGCTCCTCAACGCGCTCGGCACCTGCACGAACGCCACGCTGGTCCTCTCGGAGACGCGTCTTGTCGAGATATTCGCAGTGTTGTTTGCTGCACACAGTCTGACATGGCGCACCGAGTACGACGCCGAAAACCTTTGCGACTTTGTCCGTGTGTCCAGCCGCACGACCCGGTGCTCGACGTAGCTAACGTAGTAGATGTCGGACAAATAGTTGCCTCGTCATCCAATCAAATCTATCCTTGGACTTGAAGTAGATCTTGGGTGCGGGATAACGTTTGTTTGCTGCTCCTTTCTACTCGCGAGGGCATAGCGCATGAGTTCACCCTGAAGACGCGCGATCGCATGGCTTGAGACTTGAGTCCGGAAAAGTGGGTCTTCACAGGTAATGCGAAACTAGATAATCAGGATGGACTCTCGTCCATTTATAATCGTA